AATTAAATTTCTTTTTTATATAAAATCATAAAAAATACTGTTTTATATACTTTTATGAAGTGTTACAATTCTTTTGGAAAGTTTACTTCATATTTATGAGTCTCATCTCATCTCTCTCAAGCTCAGGGGTAATCTACGATGACGATTGTTTTAATATAATAAAATTGAAGAGAAAATATATTTTAAACTTACAAAAAAATTGAGAATTTTGATACCTTTTTAACTTTTAATATCACAGTTTAAAGTCCAGAAGTTCTTACAAGATTACATCATTAGTATGAAGTTACCAAATTATTTTTAATATAGCAAATTCTGAATAATCTGAATGTTTTAATTGCATTTAAATTGTATCTATATTATAAAATTTACGTCATTTATATTCAGTTGGCTTTCATTAATAAATAATACAATTATCAATTTAGCATCTTCTTCGGCATCATCGAGATGCCGAGGACGATGCTAAATTGATAAGCGTGGAAAATTTGAATATTTTTTTTTTTTCGAGAACGAAAGAAAAATCGTACATAAAATAAGCTTAAATTAAATATATTTTGCTTAATTACAGTAAAACCTGTGTAAACCGGACTCGCAACGGTATTCCGCTTTGGCAGGTTTCCGTTTTGAACAGGTTTCTTAACACAGAAAATCGCTCCATTCCGAAGAATTTGTCTCATTTAGGCACGTGTTCGTTATATTAAGGTTCCGCTTTAAACGGGTTTTACTGTAACATAATATAACATCTTAAATACAACGTACAAACAGGAATTTGACATAAGATAAAAGCTCATTTATTGTATGATTATCGAAGATTTAATGGGTATTTTTCTGTAAATCTGTTTGTCTGTATGTAGAGACGATTTTATAAGTATAATATATGCCACAATTAATAATAATAATAACAGAAAATATAAGAAGTTTGGAAGTTTAAATACCAATACAGTCTAATACAGGAAATGATTAAACTGAAATTATTTTATTTCGAATTTAAATATTATTACGTCTTAGATTTGTTTTATTCGATTATACACAACACTTTAACTATAGGCTAAATAGAAAATAATAAGGAGGAAAGAGAGAGGTGGTGTCATATTCAGTTACCAACGTGGGCTCTATTCATCTCCAATATGGGATTGATGAGATAAGGCAACGCAATACACAGATCTGCCAAGGGGTGGTGCCATTTAGAAGGACTTTTACGGGAAACTGGCTCTTATTTAGATGTTAGATATGTGAAGAAAACCCGGGAAAATCCATCACCAATGGCCATAGTGGATAAACCACCAAACACTGGTAGTTGGTTGCGCCTCACCAAACGACTAGACACGTGGAGTTTTCCTGTTTTACTTCACTTGTCTACTAACTAAATAGGGGACAGTCTTCCATATCTCTCATAAAAAGTCCTTTTGGGAGGTATCCTCTTGGCATATGGCCTATGCTTTATCTTATTCCACTAATTCAATCCACGCGGCTAGCTCGTTGGTGAGGCGCGAACCCACGACCAACTAACAGTGTTTTTAATGCTGTTATCCACCGGTGAGCTCCTCTCCAAAAGCCATGAGAATAAAATTAATAATGAAAATAAAACTAGACTTTTTGACATTTATCAATAGAAACTTTAATCTCTTTCCCAGCTATTATATATAGTATAACAGAGTATGGCGATCGGTCAAAAATTGGTCCCCCCTAAGATTTTTACAATTTTGGACTCGGGAGACCTTGAAATTCCAAGAAATGCAAAAAAATTCTGGGGTACTTTCTGTATGTATGGATGTTAGTATGTGTGGGGTTGCGGCACGATTTTGTTCACCCTCTTTGAAGCTTAATAACTCCTGTGTCTTTTGTCTAAACTTTCTGAAATTTTGCAAGGAGGTTTGTGTATTAGGGGTATCGATGCTATTAAATTTCAGTGATTAAAGGTCGAGGGAGCGGAGAGACAGACAGGATTGTGTGTCATATCTCGAGTGAGGTCGGACTTAATGACTAGCATTTACGATTTTTTTTTTTGTTATAAAACTCATCCCTAACCTCAAAATTAAGCTTTTATAACTATTTTATAACAATTAATTATATTAAAAAATTTTAAATAAAATATCATAACAGATGGCGCCAAACACAGTTGTAAATGTTGTTGCCGGAAAAGTTACGCAACTGGTTGCAGGATTTTACAGAGCATTAGTTTTACAGAATCATCGATTATCATTTCGAGCAGTTCCTATCAAATTTCATAAAGAATGTAATTTTACCGCACTAATTGATGAATTTTTTAAACTTTATCTACTCTGTAGGCATGAAAATAGCTTTTTTTACCATGCATATTATAAGTTAGGACAGGCCTACAACGCGATGGAAGGATGGTGAAAAACGGGATCCGACATATTTAAGGCAAATCCGGATTATCCAAAAATATTTTCAATAAAAAATAACCCGTAACGTTGTACAGTACATACCACAAAGTATAACTAATAGAAATCGAACTCTCCATGTAACTGAAAATCATACGTCATCTGTCGATTGTAGCGCCGCGAAACTGGGTCATATACGTAACATTACGTTAGATTTTAAATAAATTAATTTACTTCAAATGCAGTAAATTACAGTATTTATTGTTTATGGAACATTAAATGCACGGTGTTTAAAGTACCGGAACCACAAGTTTCTGGATTATCCGAAAGATTCCAGGTTTTATTTAGTTCGGATTATTTTGAGTTTCTATTGTGATTACTTTGGGACATTAAATAACTAATCTTTTCAAATTTAATAGAAAATGTTAAATATTAATATGTTTTAAAGATATATTGATATGTTAAGCTATATATTAATATAATTTTATATTTCAGTAATATTTTTCATTTAACATTTTTTAAATTTAGAATTAAATGATACTTTCTGTAATATCTAAACTCCGGAATTTTTTGGGGGTGGTCCGTCCGGATATATCGAGCCCCGTTGTAGGCCTGGCCGAATAGGCTTGCTAAAAAGGCCCTCTTAGTGGTTGCAGGACAGAAAGAGTTAATAGAAACAGATTATACTTCTGGGATCTAGTTAGCCTACCGCTCTGGGGAACAATTTCCAAGGAATTTTCCGTGGGCTGTCCCAGATACTTATTATAGGGTGGGCCCCTTCTTCATCACTCGACAATCCCCATTGTAAACATGGTCGAATCTATGAGGCATGACTTAAGAAGCTGTCTTAATACCTACAAGACAAAAATAATCAAAAAATGAAAAAAGTTTATTCTTCTGACTTCAATTTTTCTGTTATAAGCAATTTTGATCCTCGATAAAGTCATGTAGTGCGAGTAAGATATGAAAATGTTCCGATTTAAATACTAATGAAAAGTTACGCAATTTCAGATAAAATTTTAATTTGGATCTTCGGCATGTGGATTTGAGAATTTCTTATGAGTGATTATCTAGTCCACTGGTTCCCAATTTTTTTTCATTAGCGTACCCCGTGACATGTCATATCTCTAAATTGTACCCCGTGACATGTCATATCTCTAGATTGTACCCCTCATTTAAGAAATTTAGTGAGTAACCGTATTGTTAATTTTACATATTGTAACTTTAAATTGAAGAAAAAAAACCTAAAAGAAAAAATGTATAATAAAGTTGTGATTGTTGCAATAAACATTTTTTATCTAATAATTTTTTAATACTATTAGTTTGTGATACATAATATATTATTTTTTCTTCCATAATAACTAACTTCTTTCTGTACCTCTAAACAACCTATCGCGTACCCCTAGGGGTACGCGTACCACAGGTTGGGAATCGCTGATCTAGTCAATTTCTTTGAATTTGAATAGTTTTAAATAAAATAAATGTCGTTATGTAAACATAAAAAATGATTCACGTTTCCGTTCATAGAATGTATCTGTTTTCTGTAGAAGTACTATACAGTATTTCCACAAACTTGGAAATACTGTATGGTACAACCATTGTATATTTTATCATCTCTAAACGAACAAAGAAAACATTTCATGTACAAGTAAGTATAAATACAGAGTAAAATGCTGTATTTACATCATTTAATATCTTGTGATTATTTTAATTAGCCTGCGTTTAAAAAAAATTTTCCTTTCTATAAATTTCATTTGATTCCATATATAAAAATTAACGATGAAGAAATTTAGCCATTGATTGACGATGTTTTTAAACCTGTCCTTTGGGCACTAAGGTAGTCATTTTTAATGAGTCCATTATGGACTCGGTCTGGTAGTGAAAGATATATGTCGATATATCCGAAAGAATCATCTCCCGAAAAATGCCTGGGTTTTTTTCGACCCGTCTGGATTCGATCCCGGATCTCTCAGAGCTGTGGATTGATATCTTAACTGCTCGGCCATCTGACCTTCAAATGAAGATTTGTTTCGAGTTTTACCGCTATGAAATTCCTTGATTTTAAATGGCTTTTCTTAATTATTATCACTCACAGAAAAGGATTACTTTATAACAATTATCATGAAATCGACCGACAAGAATATTACATACCAATGTAATTACAATATTAACAACAATTTTAATATTTAGAATTTATCGATAAAAAATTTAATTGAAGAATTAGTAATACTGTTCATTAATATTGTAAAATAAATTAATTATAAAATATCAAAATCGTGATCATTTTATTAATATCAATTTTAAAATGAACTATCAGTTGGCAACACTTTCAGTAGCACAAAGGCGCTCCAGATTCGGTTGGGCATGGATTTACACGTTGTTTGAGGTGAAATTGATTATTTTTACTTTAACTCGAAATTTCTCTTCTAATAAGTCGAATAGGGAATATGAATCAATAAATAAACGATCAAGTAATATAATTCGAATTTTTATTCCCATAGAATTAAATATTCATTGATTCTGCGAAACGTAAATACGTTAAGGTTTCGTTTTAACGACTGATGTCAATGGAAATAAATTTTATATGAGAATTACATTTTTCATATGCTATTTTATAGATTATCTGCTTAAATATTTAAAATTATTCATTTTTAACAGGTATTCTGATATAGGACATAGTTGAGAGATTAAAATGGAAAGGGATTCAGGATTCAGTGAGCTGATGCAGCAAGCTGAACAGCTTACTGCTGATATGGATGGTAATGAATTGCCTAGAGTTGAGCGCAACTTGAGACAGATTTTGGATGCTGGACAACAGCTTTGGTCCAGGACTACGCAGGTAGTGAGCAGAGATACATCTGATGTTAAAGCGTAAGTAAAATTTATTTTTTAACATTAAATTTGACAAATACTGATGTCGATTAATGTAATTCATTAAATTATTTCAAGAATAAAGTGCAGTTTTTAAATATAACATCTTAATAGAGGTATTCACATTAAGAATCTTTTGAAGTTTGTTGCAGATAATAATTACAGTGTAAATTATGTGGATTATGAAAGATTTTTAGTACAGAAAATTGTCTGATATCTGTGCAATAAAGCATTATCTTATTTTTAAGACTTTTGATAGGACATTTAAATTGAGTCTTCTTTCCCTTCTCCAGTCATGCTCAATTTACAATGAGCCAGTCAGCATATGTCTAAATATCGTAGTTGAAATCGATTGTATTGCCTATATTGTACTAGTGTTTCGTGCTAACAATTCAATTCAGTTCATTTTAGAGATTATAATAGTTATTTCCACCAATCTGATCAAGAATTAATTTTTTGTATTATTTAAATTGTTACTGTACATATTATAAATATTTTTCATATAATATACATGATGTTTCTATTAGTTAAGGAAACTAGTCTATCAAGTCAAGTGAAGTTTCTATTAATTCACATTATTTTGATAAATTTTTTGTTTTCAAATATTTGAAATTCTTATAAATTTGCCTGTTTTCACTCTGGAAAATTTGATTTAATATTAGAGATTAATGCAAAAGAAATGTAATCATTGGGTGGTGACAAAAGAATGAAATGAAGAAAGAAGTCTTTTTATTATTAGAATTAAATTAACTATCAGTTTCATTTATAGTAAATCAGGTTTATAGGTATAGCTATCATTATTTTGCAAGCATTTAAATTTTTAAAACATTTCCAAAAATTGAAAACTGCAAAAGAAATTGATTTTTATATGATATTCAATTTTCATTTATTGCTTTGAATTCTTAATTATAAAAAATAAATTTTATGGAGATACCAAATTCTTTTTAGCTGCCTTCCCAGATAAAAATGTTAATTATATTATTTCAAAATCTTTATTAAATATATATTCAGATAATAAAATGCATGAAAATATTCAAAGCAATTAATTAATAAAATCCAGTTTTTGTGATAGATATAAAGTTGGTAATGTTTTACTCAATCATGTGATTGGGATCACATTGAATAAGCTTGTTTATAAAAAGCTTAGATTATATATTTTATATACATTTGTATACTGGCTCTTAAAGCAAAATGATTGAGATTTCTCATTTATGCATGAATCTTGTAATAGAATTTTCATAAAATTGGATTTTTATTAGTCATATTCTATGTGATCTAGAAACTCTATTGGTAATTTTTTCATCTAACATTGAGAATTTGTGTGAACTACTGTAATGATAGAAAAAATTTGGTTTAAAGAGTTATGGTATCTACCTTTCAGTCAGATTTTATTATTTCATTAAATAATAAGCTCAAATGCAACTTGGAAGTAATTTGGAAACTTAGATTTATATTTAGCTATAAATTTAGAACTCTTGAATTATATGATATTTAAATATTTGAATTCCTGGCATTCCAAAGTTGGAACATCATCGAACCTGAAGCAGAACTTGATGGAGATTCGAAAATGTTTGTTACTCAAGTAGACATTGTAATTTACTGGAAACACAAAGGTTTTGAAAGGGTCAGTTACAGGATTCCAGTAATCAAGTGGTATAAAGTTTGTTATAAATTTAGATTTTAAATTGTATTATATTTCGTATATATGCAATAGAATCCTCTTATTGAGTAATATTAAACAATTAGATCTGTTAGATAGTTGATTGATTACATTTACATGACTGACAATCAACTTTATCAGAACTAGCATGTTCTAAAATATATGTTAAAGTATAGTTAGAAAAGTTTGAATATTCTAATCAGAGTATCAGCTTAAATTATCATTAACTTTAGGTAAATAGGCATTTTATACTGTCTTTTTGTTCTGTAGCTTTAAAATTTGGCTGTTATTGTTTTTGTCTTTAACAATGCTATAAATGTTAAATGTTTTCCATTTTAATTATTATTTGTTCTTAGTAACTAATTTACTATTGTACTGACTGATATTGCTATTAGTTCTAGTTACGGGCTAGTTGCTATTAAAGATAGAACACAAAAGCCTAAATTATTGTTAATAAATAATTGTAATTAATGAAATCAAAATTTCTGCTAATTGTAGTCTTATTTACCTATTCTCTAGTGTTATCAACTAGGCAAGTCTCAAAATGATTACAATAAGCAGATTCTGTTGTATATACAGTATGTAATTAATAAATTTCATCACTATAGCTCATTCAAGATTTAATTTAAGAACTTACTGAAAATAAATATAAACATTTATTCATAAAAATTGTCAGTTTTAAATTTGTATGACGAAAATAATAATGTTATATTCAAAATAAAATTTATAAAAAATATACTTTATTAGAAATTTTTTTATTTATTCTTTGTAAGCTGTTTTTGTAATGAAAATTGTGTTGTTTCTAGTTTTATTTGATAAGTAATATTAAAAATAAATATATAATTATTTTCTTTTAGCAGATTTCTAGAAATAATTCATTATTACTAGAAATGGTAAATTTTCCACTCTAATATAGAATAAAATACAGTATGGTCTTGTTTACATCAGGTTGCATGTTAACAGGTGCCATGTAAAATGAAATTCTACATAAATTTGTACTTCATCCCACATAGTCCTAGATAATCACCTAATCAAAAGATTTCCAAACTTTTTTGACAGTTGACCTCTTCAAGGATTCTGTGACCATATATTGATCTCTTCATCTTTTCTTTTTGTCAATACAGTTAATAATAATAATTATTATTATTGTAAAAGTTAACAAAACTTGGTGTCATTATAAGTTACAAATAATGATAAACAGCTGATAAAATTCTGGTTACCAAAAAGATTATTTAATCAGAAACATTTTTTGCCATTGTTTTAGATCATCTTCAGTTTATAGAATAAATGTTTTTCTATAAGCATGAATTTTAGCAGTTATTTTTTATCATTATTATAGAACTAAATAATAAATTTGGTGAGCCAGTATTAATGCACACAGTTTTCATAGAAAAGATTTACTTACAGTGTGCAAATTTACAACATCCTGAATTGTCATGTGCATAATCCATTGGACTGATAATTTTTAATAAAAATGCAAAAATGTGTTTAAAGTATTTTACTTGTGTTTTACTGTAATAAATAACACTTTAGTCTGATGTTTCAGAATATATCAAGCAAAATTTTGTTATATTACATCAAGTACTGTACAATACTTGAGTAAAAAGACATGCAGTCCAGGGTATTCACCACTATTAACCACAGTGATTAGTGTTCAATATTTCTCCACATTTGTAGTGTCAAAAACTGGAGAAGTACAGTTTACTGACTTAAGAATCAGACAGCCGGATGACAAAGCAGTCAAGGTGGCAGTCTATTGCCGGGATTGAATCCGGACAGGTCGAAAAATCCCCAGGAATTTTTTGAGGGGTGGTCTGTTCTGATATGTCGGGCCCTCACCACTTGGCCGCCCATGAACCCATATTGGGCTTGCTAAAAAGAGGCCTTCTTAGTGCCCACGGAGTGGAAAGAGTTTAAACAAAACAAAAAGACTTAAGAATCAGATTTAGTGGTATTAGAAGTGGGTTAGACTAACCATTCATCATCTGCAAAAATACAAATTCATATAAACCAATTCTGCATAATCATATCTTGTATCAATATCTGTTTAAAGACAAGATCTAGCCTTATTTTTGTATGCAGAATTGATTCATATTTAGAAGACTGACTGAAATGCAGTTATCTTAGACAGTTTTGAACTTCATAGGCTTTCAACAGATTGCATGATTTTTTTCTAATGGGGTAGTATGCTTTAAGCCTGGTGAGTATTCAAGTACACTAGGTACTAAAATAATATATGTTAATGCTACGTAAGCTAGTGCTATGTAATTTATTCTCAATTTTTTTACTGGTCAAGTTTAGTTTGAATGTCAAACTAAACTCAAAATCGTGCAGTGCAAGATTACAATAAGAAGAAGGCTTTGATTCCATACTGTATGTTCTATTCATCTTTGTACTATTATGCTTTTTTCATTCTTTAAGTACACAATACTGTCTCTGTATTTTGAATTTCATGTCTCCCAGGTGATTTCTTGTGGAGTTACAGCAAAAAACAATTGTTGCTTAATTAAGTTTTGCACACCATGTATATATATGTTTTTAAAACAATCATGAACTTTACATATGTCTTGCTCGCAAAGTTTATTCAATGAATCTTCATTTTACTTCGTTGATACTTTGATTGCAATGTGCATTTTGAAAAGATTTTTTCCTCTTTAGTTGCTGAAGAAGAATTTAGTAAATAAAGTTTATAAATTAAGACATGCATTATTGAAGTTTCTGTTGTTTGGAAGTATATATACAGGGTGATTTAAAAGATCTTAGACAAACTTTAAAGGTAGGTCAGGAATACAAAAACAAACCGTCTCTATTTAGGAACATACAGTTGCAAATGCCACCCACAGTTAACTAGAAGTACAGGATGAATTATGCAGAAAGGAATACATGTAAGGTATGCAACATATTTATTAGAACATATGGATGGTATTTGTAGTTATATGTTCCTAAGTAAAGATGGTTTGTCTTTGTATTCCTTTCTTACCTTTAAAGTTTGTCAAAGATCTTTTGAATCATCCTGTATGTTGTTATAATAATTTCAGTCTTTGCTTTATGTATTGTTAGTAAAAAGCAAACTTTAATAATGACAGTTTAAGGATATTTTAATTCTTAATATATGAAATGATGAATTAAAAATACTAAAAGAAAGTTATTATTTAAAATTTCTCAGACAAAAAAGGAGAATAGATATTTAGCACTTAATATAGGTTTTTCGTATTAAAAAAAATAGTTCTAGAGATATCAATATAGAATATGCTTGTATTTAAATAATTTGTTTTATTAATATTTAGTATATACCACTGAAAATTAATTTAAGAATAATAATATATATATTATTTTTAGATCAATTCTTCTAGGAAGCAAAGGTTATGATTTACCAAAAGTAACACAAAAACTGGAAAAATTAAGTGCAACAAAAACTTTTGAACCAATTGAACCCATCAGAATTACAGATATTGAGGTATTTATAAGAAAATTTATTTAATTTATGATATTAAATTGCTTATCTGTTTATATATCCATTTAAGTTAGTATATCTATTATAAAGCCAAATTATTGCTGGATTAGATCGAGCTATATTCCTGTTTAATATAACAGGAATATAGTCCTATCTAATGCAGCAATTGTTTGGCTTTAATATAACTATTAGGCTTATGGATGTTTATATTTGTATATATCTATTTTTACTAAACATTTAGGGATTTTTGAAAAATGAACGAGAGAATGCAATTCTTTCTGTAATAGAAGAGTCAAAGAAGTCTGTAAGTATAGTTTTCATTGTATTGTTATTGATGCTGTTAATTTGATATTATTTTTCTGTTTTAAGGTTTGAATTGAATATAAAGTGGATTACAAGATTTAGAATTGAAATATACAGGGTGATCATAATTAAAGAGTAGGTGTTTAGGGTTCTCGGTAAGAAGAACTATTAGACAAACCTCAGCCAAATTTGTTATATATACTGCTGAGTATGTGACTTTAGTTTTAGAGTAAAAACTTTACTTTAAAATTCAGTCACTGGGATAAAATTTGGCACTGCTGTTCCATAATGTATATAACATACATTTTCTAATAATTACAGTAGTTAAGAAACAAAATGTATTAATGTAATTTTAATTACAGATATTGAATGTGGAATATATGATTACATTAAAAATATAGCTCTATGGGCTCTTCATCTCCATTTTCTAAAAACCATATTTATTGCAAAACGCACTCAATGGCAGAATGCAACTGATCTGAGCACAGTTGTACATGTGAAATTCTTACTTAAAAGACAGCTAAGTTGGGAACATTACCTTGATAAACAAGATGCTTTAAGTAACCACATATCCCAAAGTCATGGGTTTAGATTTGGTGATCATGTGGCCATAACATAGAAAATGATTGGCTAATCTCTTTGTGAAAAATGTTGCAGTAAGGCTTGCACATTTAAAATGTATATATATATTTGGGGTGTATCATCTTGCATAAAGACAAAGTGTACATCATGACTTCCTAAGAATTGTGAATAATATTTTGCAACTCGTTTTATATCTAAAATTTATTAGAAAATATATGCATTATGCACAATAAGGAGACAGCAGTGCCAAAGTTTGCCCTAGTGACTGAATTTTGAAGTTCTGAAAATCGAGACAGCATACTTAGGACAGTATACATACTGTCCTAAGTATGAAATTTAGATGAGATTTGCCTAATAGTTCTTTCTACAGAGAACTCTGAACAGTTATTCTTTAATTATGATTACCTTGTATTTGAATTATTATGATAATCATTTTTTAATTGTATTAATTAAGATAATCATATCAATGCAAATATTATTTTTCAATTTTGAACATGGTATTTTACATAAGCAGTTAAATGTATATATATATTGGGTTGTTCGGAAAGTAAGTTTGTTTTTCCATGGAAAATGAACTTACTATAATTTATTGAATTATATATGACCATTTTGGTCAAATACCTGTTGTCATCATTTCTGGTAGTAGCATGATTTCACATTTATAAAAGTTTTGATCGTTGTTTACAAAAAACTGATCCAAGTGATTTTTGACATTATCATTTCAAGTAAATGTCTTAGTTAAAAAAATTTGTATAGACCGGAACAAGTAATAATCTGAGTGTGCTCGATCTGGCAAATATGGTTGGTGTGATAGCAGGTTCCATCTAAGTTATAACAGTTTCTGACGAGTTATCAAACTTGTGTGAAATTTGACATTATCATGGTAAAATACTACACCTGTTTTGTTGATCAATTCTGGCTGCCTTTTCTGTTTGATGATATTACTCAATTTGTTTACTCGATGGCAGTACACTTTCAAATCAGTTGTTAAATTGTCTGGTAAAAGCTCCAAAAAGAAAAGTTTCCTTAAAATCCCACCAAAGAGAGCATCTCTGTTTAAGAACATGTGGAACCCCTATATCAAGCTTTGAAACGAAACCAATTTGTTTCAAGTAATCATAAACAGTTCAATTTGACAAATTTCATCTCTTAGTGATTTCATGTGTTGTTATTTGGTAGTTTTGTTCAATCAGTACCTTTATTTTGTTTTCATTGGCTTCAACTGGTGATCCAGAACGTGGTGCATCTTCGATATTGAAATTGCCAGAACAAAATTTTATAAACCAGTTTTGGCACTGTTGTTCTGTCAATACATCATCTCCATACACGTCACACAATTTTTTTCTTACTTGAACAACATTCTTACCTTTTTAATAATAAAAGAGCAAAATATGCTGAAAATGTTGCTTTCGATCTTCCATATTTGATGGGATACAAAAAATAAACAATTGCACAAAATCAAACAAAATTTATTACAAATAAGCCTTAAAATGGTAGCTGTCAAAATATGTAATGATAATATGGTTTAGAATGAAAATGGCGTGAAAAATACGACTAATCCATCTAGTGGTAAAAAGAAAAACGAACTAACTTACTTTCTGAACAATCTAATAATTAAGAGTTCAAATTGGAATTTTTAATAATAAATCTTATAACCTGCAGGACACTGAGATAGATAATAATGCACTTTGTTAATAAATAAGAGAAAAGTACAATGCAATGAACTTTCATTGTTATTATTTGTTAACATCCTTGTAATAATAGCGAGGTTGCGGCCAAAATTTTCAACGTGAAAACATGTATGTCGGATGTTCAGCATGCCCTCCTATAAGCCCAGAAGTTTGACAATGGCGTTTGGAATGTCAATGGAATCATGCTCGACGTTCCAAATGCCATTGTCAAACTTCTAGGCTTACAAGATGGTGGCACTAAATGTCTGATGTACACGTTTTCACATTGAAAACTTTGGCTGCAACTTCGCTAATGCGTCCAAGACATTAGAAACAATTTAAATCTATCAGTGCTGTTTGTATGCATAATTATAAAATAAAACAGCTCAAATTTCTCATTAAACTGTTTGTAATGAGAAATTTCAGTTTAGTGATGACTACAGATATCCTTAATATTTTATTATATTGCTGACAAGGTAACTTGTATTTCTTCAATCACTTTCAGCTTCTCTCTCTTTTTTTATCTTTTTCGGGATCTTAACATTTTTTTCATTTACTTAGGGTGTAAAGTCAGAACTTTGTGACAATCCAATTAATATCTGTGACACACCTGTGTTATGTTTTGGTGGAAAATCATTGGTTTAGTTAATTAATTAATGGATTTTTTTTTATAACGATTTGATATGAGCAAAGTCCAAGATAACTATTTTCCCATTTCTTTTGTTGTTTTTTCTAAGAAGAAATTAAAAATATATAAGAATAATATTTTATTTCTTATTTTGAATGGATACATAATTTATAAATCCTATTACATTTACATGTAATAGGATTTATAAGTAAAACTCATTTATATTTTTAAAATTGTATTTCTGTTAATTATTTAATTCATAATGTTTATTTTAATTTTTTTTTATTTAGAAAGCAATAATTTTTTAAATCTTTTAAATAAAAATTCAATTTTTATTCAAAATGTATTGATATGAACAATTTTAGGAAAATTAGATAGAAAATTTATATTTATATACTCACTTTCCCATCATGTATTTGTCAGCATGTCCAGTATCACACATGCAACAACTTCCCTGATTTGCTACTTCAACACAACCACATCTTGTACATTTGCAGCATATACTCTGCCCTTTGCACAACCCACAAAAAGAAATCTAGAGAGATTATGTCAGGTGAGTGTGGCACCCATGGACAGGACCATTCAGATCTATCTAGTGTTTGGGAAGTGTGGTGTCCAGGAAAGTACGATACCGTGTTTCCCCGAAAATAAGACATCCGCAGAAAATAAGACCTAGCACAGATTTTGCTGAATTGCGAAATATAAGACCTCCCCTGAAAGTAAGACCTAACAAAGTTTTTTTTTAGTCGTAACGGTCATTGACAGATGGTTGATAGTGGCCGTTGGCTTTTTGAAAGTACAGCCACTGATTAGTTAGCAGACAATTACACCACGCGGCATGATTTGCATAAGACTATGGCTTGGGAATCACAGATTTGCATAACGTTACGGCTAGTGATGGCTAATTGGTCGGCCGGGAATCACGCCACATGACATTTGCATAGTGCTACGGTTTAGTAAGCACTAATTGGTCATCGAGTCCGATGTTGATGCTATAAAAAGGCGACAGTTCGACACACCGGATATACGTCACTCTCGTCTAAGTTCGACTTGGGAATTTTTTTGTTCAATAATAAATGTGAATTCTTCTTCCTGGAAAAAATAAGACATTCCCTGAAAATAAGACCTAGCGCCTTTTTCAGAGCAAAAATTAATATAAGACACTGGAAACACGGTATAAGGTGCACTCTCCTGCTGAAAAATGACATCAGATTGCAAGTCTTGAACCTGTGGAGCATCAAACTGCTCCAATATATTCAGATAGGTGATGTCTATCACTATCAATTCAGCAGAAAAGACCAGTAATACAAGAAGTGAATGGGAGAGAAACTTTAAGAGTCTGTCTATGTTGTGGCAATGTGTGTTTCAGTAGCTCTCACTATGTTCATGCAATAAATCTCTAAAACTGAATATAGACTTTTAGGGACACCCTGTATTTTTAATATATAAACACTGTCGGTCAATTTTGTTTTTGTTCCTTCTACTATATTTGTAAGACAGATTTAAGAAGCCAATTTGTATTTCTTTAATATATATTTTTAATATATTATGTAAATTGTATTGAACAAAGGATTTCTGTATATGTATTGATTTTTTTTCCATGGCTTCTAACATTGAAGGTCAAGATGATTCAATAGTATTTAAAGTTAATAAATAATATAGTACATTCAACTAGATAGTTATAAAGTAACACTAATAAAACCAAATTGCAGTATTGCTTTCTTCACATATTTTACCAGAGTTTGGTTTTATTAGTCTTTCTTAATAACTAATAAAATTAGTAAAGGATTTTGAGATTAATTATTATTAAAGTGTATTTTTAGCTGGTGTTCAAATTGAACTGATATGAAAAATAAATGTATTAGCTATATTATATATACATATGGTTAAATTATATATATTTTATTCTTATTTCTAATTAATAAAAATATGTTTTTGGTATTTTAATGATATTTTTTAGACATCAGAACGTGCAGATAAGCTTTTTTGGAACAATCTTGAATATGAATGGGAAGATGAAAAACAGAGAATACTTAATGCCTTAAGTGGTTCCACTCAGGAAATAATTTTGGATACAAGTGTAGGTTTAATACTTGAGTTTTATTTAAGATAGAGGTTATTATATAAAAATTTTAATTGTAACATATTTTTAGTTATTTTAGTTTTGGCAGAAGATTTCTTTTACATTTAATTAGTATTATTTTTCATACAGTTTCTAACAAGAACTTTGTTGTTTTCTATCAATTTTTATTTAAATTCATTTTTCCTGCAGCAAATATTAAATTTTGCATTAGTATAATGTTTTATTGTTATTTTACTTAAACAATAAAATACTTTTAAATTATGTCTTTGGTTTGACAGTGCTTATCAAATAATACAGTCGACCCCCCCTATAACGTACATTCCTATAACGACAATTCCTATAACGTAGCAAAAAAATTGTAGCAACTTTCGTATAAAATACCTCCTATAACGTCGTTTCGCGACAAGATTGATAGAATCTGGACCAATAGTGGATGAGCAGCCGAACTATTTTCCTCCAACCCTGCGCCACGCTACGGAGCGGCTAAATTGAGTTTGCTATCGTCTGTTTAGTATTATATATAAATTAGGTACTGTATATATAATTATATATTAACTTAATTTATTGTAACTTTATTATAATTATATATATGCTTTCTGCCGCCTGGCAACACGCTACAGAGATTTTAGGCTAGTAAGTTGAGTTTATTATTGTCTGTACAGTATGTAAATTAGGTAGCGTAAGTCTAATACAGCACTAATTTTATACATTTCTTGTGAAAGAAACACTTCTTATTCAACGGCCATAAAAATTATTTATATTAATGATGTCTCCAAAGGTCAAGTTATTTTTCTGCGAAAAATTTGTTATTAGAAATCGCGGCCATCGTTTCATGTGCTGTTCTGCAATGAAAACCAGCTTTAAGCAACGGCATAGTCGAACGGTACACACTCGGTAAGTAATCCTACAATTTTTTGTTTATAGCATAGTTTATACAGATTATTCCCAAAAAATTATACGTGTTTTGGAAATGTTGAGTCAAATTAGTCTAGAATCAATTAATTTCATGGAAGAAAACCTTTCAAACAGCCATAGTCTGTAAACTGTACACGTGCCAGGCTGTGATTCGCTCATGTATTTAAGGATTCCTACAACGTGAAATTCTTATAAAGTGGAACATATCTACAGCATTATAGGGGGCCGACTGTATAAATAAAGCATATACACAAACTACCCAAACTACACAAATCAAAACTGAAAATAAAAATACGAGGATAGGCTGAAAAGTAATGCACACATGCTTGTAGAACACGAACAAAAACAAATATCAAGATCGAGCAATAAGTACATTAAAGTACAATTCTTAAGCTTCAAAATCATATATTTATTTTTCAACATAGTTACCGTCAAGGCTAACACTTTTCTCCCAACGTGTAACAAGTTTTTTCATTCTGTCACTGGAAAATTCTTCTGACTTTTCTCGAATCCAGGACTTGACAGCTGCCTTCACCTCATCGTCCGAGGTGTAATGATTATCCTTGAGGTCTCTCGAGTAGAGGAAAAAAAATAAAAATCACAAGGCACAAGATCGGGGGAATAAGGAGAGCATGGAATCGGTTCAAACTTCTGGTTTTGCAGAGCCTCAGGCTGTCTCTAACACAACAAATAATGGGCGTCAGGCTGCCTCTAACACAACAAATAATCACCTGGCACCAATAATCTTGCAACATGACAACGCTCATCCACACACCTAGCGTGCAACTGGAGAGGCTCTGCAAAACCAGAAGTTTGAACCGATTCCATGCTCTCCTTATTCCCCCGATCTTGTGCCTTGTGATTTTTATTTTTTTTCCTCTACTCGAGAGACCTCAAGGATAATCATTACACCTCGGACGATGAGGTGAAGGCAGCTGTCAAGTCCTGGATTCGAGAAAAGTCAGAAGAATTTTCCAGTGACAGAATGAAAAAACTTGTTACACGTTGGGAGCAACGTGTTAGCCTTAACGGTAACTATGTTGAAAAATAAATATATGATTTTGAAGCTTAAGAATTGTACTTTAATGTACTTATTGCTCGATCTTGATATTTGTTTTTGTTCGTGTTCTACAAGCATGTGTGCATTACTTTTCAGCCTATCCTTGTATAATAAAATATAAGAATAATAAGTTTAAAAAAGCTCATCAGGTGACAAAAGAGATTGACCTTGAACAGATTAGACAAATGACAGTGAAAGACAAATGTTGTGGTCAAAATGTCATTCTCCTGCATTTTCATATTTTAATATGAAAATAATACAGTATATAGTCTATGTTTATCTGGAATGAATAGCAGAAGAACTTTAAAATTCAGTTTGGTAGATTCTGAGGTTTCCTCTAGCAAACAGTCTTGCTTTATATATTAGTATAGATAACTGTAAACTGAAGATGGTCTATTAACTATGCTGAAAATATTAGTTAAATAAAACAATTTTAGTGGCAATTAAAAGGTGTTAGATGTATTTATTTTTCACTTATGTATTTTGTAAAATATAATGTTACTTTTCCTGTGAACACTATTAAAAAGTTACTTATATACAAAAAAGATTTTGAAAGTAATCAAATATATATTTCCAAAGATAAAAAATTGGACAAAATTCTATTATAAGAAAATAATATGTGTTTTAATTTATAATTTGGGCTATAATATTTTAGAAGAGTTTAAATTAAGTTAAATTGATTAGAATTTTATTTTATTGTAACACACTTTTTATGTTAATAAATTAAAATTTATTTTAATAGACAATCATGAGTGAAAATATTAATATGAGAATTCGAACATCAATGTCTGCAAGTGAAATGGCCTATGCAAAACAGGTGAGTCTTATAAATTATTTTTAAAATATTTTAATATTGGGGGAATGAGAAAAGTAATCACTAATTACTCTGAAATTCTTTATATTTTGATGGTTGCTATTTATTACATGCAAGAAATCTTTAGCTGAACAAATATTATTCTTGAAGAAACTGACAAATAAAATACAATATAGTTGTCGTTTAGTTTGATACATTCAAACTAGGTAAAACATGGAAAATTTTTTGACTTGTTGTTTTATTTTGTTGCTGCTATTATCTTCTAATTTTGTTTATTTTCTTAATACAATTATTTGAAATATGTTCATTTTTTTCCTTGAATATTCTAGGTATTTTGCATAAACCATTAGGAGTTACACAAAATGTATGAACATAATGTTTAAAACAGCGGTTGCCAACCTTTCTGACCTCAACGGACCACTATCATGAATTCTTTTTAAATGATACCTCTATAGAATAATAATCATAAAAGTTCCATTTTACTTTACTTTATTAATATGAAATTCACTTGTTTAATTATAACAAATTAGTATGAAGTTGTTGCTACTTGTTTGAAATAAGTTTATGGATTCTTGGCTCTTTTCCACGAAGGATGGCAATTGCACTCACAATATTATTTATTGTTGATTATTTATTTATAACAATCATTTTGTGTTTGGTTTTAGATTTAAAAAAAAAAAAAAACAATTCCAATGAGTGAGAAAAATTAACCAAGCAGTTTAAATTTCTTTCATAATACTTCATGTAACCTTGAGTTGATCAATGTCCAAATTTTTCCATGGACAACCAAAATTTTCTCGCAGACCACTGATTGGCAACCACTGGTTTAGAACATTATATTCATATTAATCATTGATAACATATTATTCCTTATTGAAAATATTAAATTTTTACTGTTTAAATTCACTGTTTGTTACATTATATTTTAAGATTGTTCATTTAAAATAATTTATAGAAAGATTTTCTTACACAATAGATGTTAATTTTAGAAATGTATTCATGTCCTTTGTTATGGAAATTAGAGTTCAATCACCAAAAAGATAATAAAATAAAAAATAAAAATGTTAACTTCAATATGTTATTTTTGATATAAATGCTATATCATGTCTTTTTAAATACAGATTTAAATATAAGATGTATGCTAATACTAATGACATTCATGTTTCATATATATATCATGAATTTTACATATATTTGTTTGGAAATATATTTTCTTTTTCTTTACAGGTGTATTTATATAATGAACAAATAGTACAGGGAGGCTTGAAATTCAATTTAGCAGAAAAATTTTATGCAGTTGCAAAAGAATTAGATGAAAAGGTAAAATATTGCAATAAATCCAATTTGCAACTATGAAATTTTATTAATTACAAGTTTTGTTTATGTATAATTTGAACCAAACAATTGTATTAATATTAAAAATTACAGTCAATATTGGACTTGTGGGAAATGGTTAAGATTATGACAGATATACCATTAAGTACAGACAAGGATATATTAGCATCACGTTGTTCGGGTCTCATCCAAACTGCCTTTGTTAATCAGGCTAGAAAATATTTAGAAAAGAAGTAAGTATTAATTTAATAATGGGTATCTGGAAAAAAGCCACATATATTTGTATAGTATAGCTTTTACCTTGGTTAAAAAAAAAACTATGAACTAAATTGTCACTTGAAAAATGAAGAAAAGCTTTACATTACGGGACATTCCAATTTTCAACGCTGACTCAGCGCTGATCTCAACATTCGTTAAAATTCATTCCTTTTTTCAACGTTGAGGTAGCGCTGACTCAACACACTCAGCACTCAACAGATATGTTGACTGCTACTTTCCAATGAATTGTGGGTAATTGGTAAGACATTTGAATGGAATCCATCTTGCTGAGAATGGAATTATGGGAACTAAGCACTCTGTACTCAAGTTGGAACGTCGTTGATGACGTCAAATTGTTGACTTCAACACTCAACACTCGCGTTGAAAATTGGAATGTCCTGTTATCTTCTATTTATACAATTTTATAAGTCCCTATTGTTGATTGTCATCAGTTTGACTTTGGGGGCAGTGCAACTTTCTTACAGGACTTTGGTTCACATTTTTCAGACTACTTTATGTGATTGATCAGCTGATCCTTGTGTTTTGCCTTCCATTTCCTTTTTGTAAATAGCTGTTCTGAGAATTGTCCAAAAATCCTCAGTTGGCCTAGTTTCTGACATATCTGCAGGTTTGTTCTCTTCATTGATAAAGGTGACATTTTCTTGTTACAGATAATCCAGCATAGTTTTGATTTAGTTAGAACTTTGCTTAATCTGGCAAGAAGACATATTCTAATTGAGAATAGTTCTTTTGANGATTATTTTGTTGTTTATATAATATTTATTATTTAGAGCTGTATATTGTATTCTTGCTTGTTGCAATATGAATGAGGATCACTCGGAAGTTGCCGAAAAGACAGACGACTATTTATGGTTAAAGCTTTGTCAGTTACGGTCGGAAGAAATAGGAGAGAGTTCCATACAAATGCAATTAGATCGAATAACCCTGTCACAGTTACAGTCCCTTTTATTGGAAGATCACGGTAAACTATTAAATCATTATCCTATATTTTAACATAATCTAGTAAAGTTAAAAATACTAATTTCTTTTTAGGTGAAACTCATTTCAATGCTTACGAACAACCATTTTTATATTTTGAAGTTCTCTTTCTCACTGCCCAGTTCGAAGCTGCAATCGAATTTCTATCTCGCATCGAACATTTAAGGTGTCACGCGGTCCATTTGGCAATAACTTTGTACGAGATGAATTTACTAGCCTTACCCACCAATATTCATGCACCATTATGTAAGAATTCAAAATAAAAATCTTAAAATTTTCTTAAGATAACTCTTTCTGCTATAATAGTATACTTATTACAATCATATTATTGTCATAAATAGTGTCCCAAAATAAAGCCGACAAACCGCCTATGCGTCGACTCAACTTTGCCAGATTAATCATGATGTACACAAAAAAATTTGAAATCACCGATCCCAGAGAAGCCATTCAATATTTTTATTTTCTTAGGTAACTATTTCAGAAATAATAAAATAAAAAAATGTTTTCATTTCATTTTAAAATAATTTCTATATTAGAAACATTCGAGGCATAAAAGAAGAAAATCTCTTCATATCCTGTGTGAGTGAATTAGCTCAGGAGACAAATGAAGTAAGAATTTATTAATTTATGCTATAATTTATGATATTTTTGAGATACAAATTGCAAAATTTTAGTATTGTTATTATATTAGATTAATAGTAAATATATTTTTGTGTTTATTAGTTTGAAATGCTACTTGGAAAGATGGAACCAGATGGATGCCGAAAGGTAAGAAGTAAATTTAATATTTTTAAATAATCTTTTTCATTAATGATCTAACACAAGATTAAATGCAAAAGATCATTATTTTAATCTGAATTAATTGTATAATTTTAATTGATGTTTAAAAAGGTTGAAATTGAATAACCAGTAAACAATAATTATTACTGATCATTCAATTTAATTTTTTTATAAATCAGTTAATGCTTATTTATGCTATGTTGAATATCTGTCAGAATTAATTTTGATAAAATAATAATGTAAAATGCAATGCTATGTAATTTCAAAATAAATTTACTTATTAGAGATAAAATTGTTCAGCTTTGAATAATCTCAATAAATCATTGTTTATTGTTAATTCTTTTTTATCTTTCAATTACTTATAATTAAACAAATGTTATTAAAATTAATTTTAATTAATAATGTATCCTGCAATATCATATATTAATTATCAATTGTGAAAAAATATTTGCTTGGTGTACCTTCCTATAAATTTTTATTTTGGAATGCATTCTGAGTTAAACCAAAAAAATTGATGACTGAAATGTTCTTTTGTGAATTTATTTCCATATATTCCTCTTCTGATACATTGATTAACAATGGTTACTCTTCACTCATACAAACTATAATAAATTATTTGTAATTGCTTAATTAAGCAGTGCTATTCCTATATCAGAATACTTTAATTTCTGTTAAAACTTACAATAATTACTCATTAAAATTAGATAAACATATTATTCGAAAAAAAAAGAAAACTAAAATTCAGCCATTCAATTTTTAAACAAAATTGTCTTTTTGGGAAAAATTTGTCAATAATTCACTTGAACTAAAGCAAATAGTACTTTCATACTATCAGCAAAAATAAATGAAAATTGAATTTTGATTTATCTCAACACATAAAAGTTATAATTATATTACTGTAGCTTCTATTGTAACTATTACAAATTTTGTGTACAAATACAATGAAGAAATACAATCATCCATATGGTTATTTATTATCAATGCCATTTTTTTATCATAAAATTGCTAAATCATTCTAAAGGTTTTTATTAAATTAAGCAAGTCAGCCTCTTCACTTATGGTTGATTCTTTAAGTAATTCTAGAGAAAATAAAGAAAAATTTCTTTATTTTCTCTAGAATTACTTAAGAAGAAATCGGGATTAATAATATAACATGATCATGAACTTATTTCAGTAGAATTCTAGTTTCATTATTATATATGTGTGAAATTAATATATAACATTGCTAGTGTATTTTTAAGACAAGACCATGTGAGTAGGGAGAAAAAAGAACTCTCTTAAATCTCTAATTAAAACTTATAATGATATATTAAATGCATTTAGTCATAATTGCCAAATTACTGGACTTTCTATAAATTAAATCTGTTAACATTCTGGTTAATTTATCTTTGCAGGTGGTTATATCGTTTGTTAATTATTTAATGGTCTTATAGGAGTTTAAAAGCTGGTTTGGAATGGAAAAATAAATAATTTTATGTATTAAGCAAATACCATCAAAATGATTTGAATAGAACTATTATATGAGCCATCAAAAATAATGAGTTATTGTATATATTATATTTTCATTTATTTATTTATTTTTCATACAGTAGAAAATGTCATTTGACAATTGATTTCTGCCTCTGATAATAAAAAGACCCCCAAAAATTATTTCAAAAATACAAACAATTAAACAGTAAAAAATTTTTTAAAAATAATAAATATGGTGATAACATATAAATGATACATATATAAAAGTAGAAGTAAAAAAGAACAAAAAGAGAGAACATTAAAATGACAATTACTAAATTACAATTATATAAAAATCATTGCCAAACATGCTTATATTGTTTAAAATTATAATGTAGATAGTTTTCTACTGTGAATGCATATTCCGCACACCGATAGGAAAATAATAGATTTATGTGATATAAATAGTCAAAGGAAAGGAGTGAATAAGCAAGATGTGTTCCTTGTTTTGGTGGAAAAGTCTTAATTTTAGCCAGTAATTGTTTATAAGTCCATTAAAAAATTTAAAATAAAGGATGCAATCAAAATATTTAATTCTTTTGTTTAGAGGGGAAGGTCAAGGCAGACTCTAGCAATGTCAAGGTTATGAGTAATGGGCAGATTACTAAATTTATATAATAAAAAGTAAACTGTGTCGATTTTTGTATTAACTTTGTTAAGTAAGGAGGGATCCTGTGTGAGTGAATTA